TGGGGGCTCATTTTGTAGTTGGCAACAGTATCCAGGAAGAAAGAAAAAATATGATGTTTTTTGTTTGTCTTTTCTGAACAAAACCGCCAGTGGAAAGGCTGCAGCAGCACTTTTAATATAGAAAATCCCCTTTGGTGTTTATTTTCTGTGGATCCTGAAGGAGAAACGGGTCGAGCTCAGTGTTCAGCTTTTATTTTACTTTATTTGTATGTGTCAGCTGTCCTGCATGGGTTACCCTGATCCTGTGGAGTGGGTTTTGCAGCAGTAGTCTCAGTTCTGCAGCTTCAGTTTAGGTCCATGTGGGTCCGTGAGTCGGGTCTCATCCTGCTGCAGGTTCTGGTTAGCCTGACATCACCGGTGGAGTCCGACTCTGTCGACGGGCGACCCTTCCACCAGAGAAACACGAGGCAGGAAAGGACGGAGCGGACTCGCCAACAGTGAACTTTCACAATAAGAGTGTGATGATTGTTGATAAGTTTGAATTGGCTACAGATGATGATCATATTCATGAATCTGATTATTTGTGAATGTTTTCTTTAACTAACTGCTTTATCGAGTGTAAATCGGTCATCCTGCTCGTCTGTTTTCGTTATCACTGTGAGCTGCGTGTCTGTTTCTCAGGTGAAAGCCTGTCTGGGACCCCGCTCACCACGTCGGCGAGGATCTCTGCTTTGAACATTGTCGGAGAGCTGCTGAGGAAAGTCGGGGTAAGAAGCTCGGCTCGTGTTTATCATCATCTGACTTACCGTCATGTGATGCTGCAGGCAGTTTCTCAGAGTCCATTAAACATTACACAGACTTATCTTTGACTTTTGGGAAGAATAACACAGCCAGTGATTTTTCTTTCTTTCTGTTTTTAAATCACCGGTACAGAGTGAAGACAGTAACTTGGCATATTTTTAGATAAACAATAGTAAGATGGGAGCAAAGCAAGAAAAGCCTTAAAAATTATACAAAAGGTACTTGGTGTCACATGACAGGAACATGTGGTCCGTTATGGCCGGTGGTTTGTGACACTCATTAAATCAGAGATTTGAACCTTTCGTTTTTTCTTCTCCGTTCAGAGTCTGGAGTCCAGGCTGGCATCGTGTCGGGAATATGTCCAAGAGCAGGCGGTGAATCGCAGAGCCCACGCTGGTGGACAGGGGGCAGCAGCGGGTCAGAGCAGCTCCTCAGAGAGCCATCCAACCAACGGCCTCTACAATAAGGGGTGAGCTTCTGTGCAGCCATGAAAGGCAGCGTAAGACTCACTGTAAGTCTCCTGCTTATCAGGGGAACCTTCATATTACTGAGAGAGGCCTAAAAATTTGGATGCATGTGTTTGGTCATCTAAACTTTCCACTGTTGCTTTCCTCGCCGGTCAGCATCGAGCGCATTAGTGAGATGAACGACTGATTTTCTTGCTGTAACGTACGATGCTGCAGCCCCGGGTTGTTCTGCAGATTTACTGATCTTTATTAAAGTCCGTCCTGTGAAGTGGAAATACTCACTCTGTTGTCTGATCAGAGATGGCACTGAAAGACGTTCAGAGGTTGTGACTGTTTACTTGTTGTTTCCAGGCTCGTTAAGAGGTTGGATTTAGGAGCTGGATCCAAGCTGCTGCTGTGAAAGTAAAAGTGCTGCTGGGCCCGTCGTCTCCATCCACCCCGGGTCTCCCGAACGTGACACAGGTATCGCCCTTGTCGCCTCTTCAGGACACAGACTACCGAAGCTCTGAGGACACGTTACTCCAGACACGTCGGGATGTTTTTGTTTGTTCGTTAACAGGACTCTTTTCAGCACTCGCACTTGGCTTTGAACTGATCTACTGGACCCTCTCAGCTCCTTTTGTTTGGATCTTCTTGTTTTCCCCTCTCCCTCTAAAAGTTTTGTTCAGATTAAACACAAAGTGAGCTTGAGAGACGTCTGATGGCTGAGCACTGGACGGGCACCTTTATGCACACACTGGGGGGTAAAACTGCCTTTAAACCTCCTGACAGTCAAGAAGCTTCCACCGTCAGGAGTGTCTCTGAGTTCACACAGAGAGGAGATGATGAGCACACGTGGTGGCCTAGAAAGACGATATGTTTACACATTCTTACAGACTGAGCAGAGACTTTGACTACGTTACTTAGGGCTGGGCAATGTGTCGATTTGGTAAATACGTCGATATATTTTCAAAAAATCCACATGGTTTACTTCTACGTGTAGCGTGAATAATGACTTGAAATGTAACGGTACATGTTAACTTAATGTCTGTGGTAGCAGAAAACTTGAGGAGAGGGAAATCGGACTTCGTTAACAAAAACACATTTTTACCTCGCAGGAAGCCGGATTTACCCGTCACTTCAGATCCAAACTGACTGCAGGGTTTCTGCCGCTGTGCTACAACCCTGCCCCAAGCTGCTGGGATTAATGGCTTTTCCTAGCAAAACCTCTGTAACCACCTTTATCATAGTAACTAAAGCTAAACTAAAAGGGCGGCGTGGCAAGTCGACTACTAAAGGCCCATCTTGAGCCAGGAAATACCCCAGAGGTGTTTCCCAAACTTCCACGCCACCACGTTTATTAGAACCAACCGAAACTATTGAACGACTAACTCTGCCAGTAACCACCGCCGTGCAGTAACACGAACTAATGATGAGCAGCTTCTGCTCTGGCAGGTAAACTTCCTGTTTTTGTGAATGGAGTCTGGTGGAGCGTTGCAGCTTCTTGTTTTACCACAAAGAGCAACTGTGAAAAGTCTTTGAAACAGAGCTTCCACTTAAACCCGCAGTGACTGAACCTCAAACAAGCAGCGTTTATGTTCAACAGCAGAACGAAAGGTGGACGCAGACTGTTGGTGAGCGGTCACGTGACCGCTCAGGATGTAATGTGTATTAATGTTTTTGTCTATATCGCCCAGCTCTAAGATGACCGAAGATTTTACTGCTGAGGCAGCAAAGCTCAGAAGAAATAGTGTTGTTACCTTTGACCTTTTATAAGGAAGTCACAGACAGCACGGTCACGGAAAGGTGACGCGCTGTCTGTGACTATTTTTGAAGGATCCTGCGACACCAGGTGACCTTTTTGGGATGTATCTGTCAAAGGTGTCTAAATGTGTTTATAATGATTAATTGAATGTGAGAAGTTGGCTCCTCTGCAGCTCCATGTGGCCCTTTGGCCTCGTTCTGTGGTTCACTCTTTGCCTTCTGGTTCTCGGGCAGTTCTCCATGAATTTCATTTTAGTTTGTCAAAGTCAGGCTAAAACCTAGATTGAGGTGGGCCGAACACAGTAAACGGTTTTGTTTGGGTTTATTAGTGTTATTGTCTTAATTATGGAGTTCAGCTCAGTTTGTCATCAATAACCTGATTGTAGAGGAAGGAGGCTTTCTCACAGTTTAAGTTTGTGGCTGTCCGTCCACACGTGGCGTTCATAATTCTGTCATCTACAATTATTTCACGAAGACTAACCGATGGACATAATGAGCTGGTCTGACTCCGCCCTCCTGGATTGTAACTGGTAGTCTTTGTTCTCAGTGTAGTGCAGCGTAAACCAGCTCTTCACCACTTTGCTGTTTTTAACTCGCAGTCAGACTGCAGGATGAAACTTTCTGAAGAAGCAGCTGAATGATTTCTTTCAAAATCAGAGCGAAAGCATTGCCCACCTCGTTTGGTGCGTTCACACTAAAGAATCGAAGAATCGTCATATGAAAATCCACAATTATTCAATCGTGACAGCCAACGAGACGAGGAAGAGTCCAGCCCACAGCTGGAATAACGTTTCAGTAGCATATTTTCAGAGTTTCGCAGGAAGTCTTCCTTTTCTCCACGTTCTCCAAGTTAACTTGAGTAATGCCTCGAGATTCAAACAGCGACGGGTGTCAGGAGAATCTCAGCTGATCGCCTGAAATATTTTTACCTCCATTCATGTCACCAGCTCAAAATTTAGTCTCCTTCTTTGCATAAACTTTGATTCTTTTTTCTGTGAACGCACCATAATGCTCAGGTGAAGAAGATGAACCCGATAAAACCGGTTTTATTTCTCTGTGTGGTGGAAACATTAGGAAAGATTAGCTGTGGATATTCATCGTTCCTGGATGATGATTACTAATGATTCTGGAGACTTCCCTTCAGACCAAAGTTCAGTTTTATACTTAAAATGTTTCACTTAAATCACCAGCTTGACGTGAAATTTACAGGTAACATTAATGCCTCTAACAGGGTGAAACTTTATAACTTATTGTAAATTCCTGCATTTAAACAAACAAGAAACAAAACTTTTTAACCTTCCAAAACGAACCAAAGCTACCAACAGAATGTAAATAACTGCTATAAATTTGTGCCCAAATTGTACCAGGATACAGTGCAGCAGGTCTGGGAAAGCAGCCGCAACATCTGGTGAAACACTGCCCCCTGCTGGTTAAAGATTGCAAACGGTAGTTACAAAAAGTACCTCTGGCGACCCTCAGGATATTTCAGATGAGCTTTTATGCTTATAAAAATATTTGTTCCGTCCAAAAGTTTGATGTTATAGCTAACGTGTAGATGTTAGATGATTCTAATGATGGAGATTTGTAAGATCTGTGTGGCAGACGGGTAGTTTAGGCACTTTTTAGTCTGTGGAGACGTTTGTTAGATCCCTCTGCAGGGCTACTTCTGTCTTTCCAGGAGTGAAATCTGAAACATCTTCTGTTTCTGAGGAGATTCGATTACTTCAGTGAAGGCTACTCGTGTTTTATGTTAAAAAAAGTATGTCGTAGTGTTGTCTACTCACTGTAGGGTCACTAAAATGTAGGATGAGGATGTGTAGGTTGGGTTGCTCAAGCCTTGAGTCAGGACCTGTTATAAGTAGCCGCTCAGGGTGGGAGTAAAGCAACAGGCTCTGGTGTTTTTCTTTTGCCTTATGTGACTCTGTAAAATGAAGTGCTTGCATGCTCACATGAAGTGCTGAAGACCTGTTCTGGCCTTTGTTGTTTTTTACCTTCAGCGCTGCTTCTGAAAAAGCAATAAAACTTGAAACGCACAGAAGGATTGTCCTTTTTCATTTTTATTTATCACAGGAAGTGGAAACAGAAAACATTTGTAAGAGTTTGGTTTCAGTCTGATATCATTTCTGTGGTTTACAGAGCACAGACTCCTGCTTCACCCTTCGCCAAGTGTGGGGGACTTTGAGCCTTCTGTGAGTATCTGTGAGATTTAAAACCAAGTGTGTCAGGAATTAATGTGGACCCGGTTGGATACATTCAGTTTCCAAACATACAGATTTTCTCTAAATATTCCTGAAACCCTCAAAGAAAGTCCAGAAAGGATCGCCTCAGTTTGTGCGCTGAAGAGTTGCATATGATCTCCCGAATCCTGGCAAAGCCAGAAGGTTGTTTAGACAAAACAAAAGATCTACAGGTAATATTTTGACAGGAAAATCACACTGATGACACAAACCGAGGCGAGCAAGGCCGACTTCTTATATAAGAGTTATTTAGCTTAATAACACTCCACGTAACAAAAGCTGAAACGGCAAACGTTCATCTAAAGTGTGCAGCCTAAATTCCTCCTGTGTTAAAGCAGCGCAGATTGTTAAAGTGTGACGGCAGGGCTGGAGCTGGCAGCTCTTCAGCTGTTGTCTGAACCTCGTTTTATTCAGTTTGACATTGTGAAGCCAGGATCCTCCCCACAGGTACACGGATGGTTTTAAAAACTGCTTTTATCCACCTGTTGTACAGTTTAGAACACAGTTTACTGTAAATGAAGATATTCCAAAACTGCTAGGTTTGGTTTTTGGGTTTGTGCAGTTTCACTGCATCTGATTGGCTGAGTAGACCTTTAATAAAGGGTGATGCTGCCATCTGTTGGTTAGGAATGCTCCTAACAGCACTTTAAAGGAGAACTATTGAGCTAATTTATTCATCTTAAAGCTTCTTTGTTGGTCTAAAAACTGCTGCAGTGTTGCACTGTAGACACATCCTGCTCATGTTTGTCTCCACGTTATGATTCTTAGACTCCACCTGAGGAGCTTTGCATGATTCATGTCCCATTTGTCCACCTATCTTCAGGTGTGTGTGGCTTGTGTGCCCGAGATGAGCAAACTGTGATAAACAGCGTTTAGAGCAGCCGGAGCTCTGGGCTCACAGGGACTCTTGTACATAATCATCTCATTATTAGAAACCCTATATGAGCGTAGACTGCTGGAACAGTGAGAAGATTTAAATGTTTTCCACCAGTTAATTATTAATAATTCTTCTCCTGTGGAGCTGCTGTCAGGACAGGGATGAACAGGCTCAGATGCAAAGCTGCAGATATTTGGACAGGAGATGCCAATTAAATTTTACCAATTCAATGAAGTTAATTTCTATATTTCTATAAACTAGAGCGGCAGACTTTGGCAGGACTAATGGGACCCAAAATCTGAAACTCATTAAAATCAGCTTTAAGAGTTCTTGGGTGAATTTAGGAACCTTACTGTGGTGTTTTACATGTATTTGCAGGGATAAAATGTTTTTTAAAATAATTGGAGATATGTGCATATTTATGGAACAACAAAAGAAGGGAAATTCATCCACAAAGAATCATAAATTAATTAAATTGGTCTCAAATCTCACAGATTATTTCCTATAGAAACAGATTATGTATAAAATGTAAAAGCGTAGGCACAGAGGCTTTAAAATGCTCTCAGATGTGACGGTAAAACAAATTCTCACACTGAGGAAGTGAAAGTGGAACATTTGGAGAGTTTTTGCTCGTAAAATAACATTTTACTGACTTTTAGTGTCAGAAATAATTAAAAATAAATAAATAAATGATCAGACTAACAGGTTGGTAGCATTGTATGGATGAAGTATGAAATACTTGCGCTAATATTTCTAATATTTGGGACATTAAATTGTAGCTTCAGGCTATTAAATGACTTTTTTTCTTGTTTTGTTGGGGATAAATTTGGTCCGTCCACAGTTTGTCCCTCAGTGTGTTTGGAATAACTTAAAAACAAAACTATTTGCTTCAAACATAAATCCATAGTATTGATTAAATATCCAGCTCCTCCTGTGACTCTACGCTTGGTTGTTTCCTAAAACACTTCTTTATCTGCTCCTGGTCGTCTACTCATTGGGGGAGCAGGTGTAGACCTCGGCACGGGGCTCCAGAGGTGGGGTGCGGGCGGGTGAGGAAGGTGAGGGAGGCTCTTCCTCGTGCAGCTCCACCGAGTTCTCTTTGATGTTGCTCCTCCGGTTGATGCTCCCTCCGAGCCCCAAACTCCTCATGCTGCCGCCACCACTGCTGCGAGGAGTGGAGCTGCTGTACAACATCTCCCCACCAGCACCGCTGCCGCCACGCCTGGGAACACCCGACACATCGGGAGGAAGAGGAGGGTCAGAAAGAGAGGAAAGGCGGCAGAGGAAGAGGAAATGGCTTTCTGCAAAGCAAAATAATTAAGAGGTAGGGCCTGAAATCCTGAAGCAGGAGTAAACTGGAGGCAGAGCAGTGAGGGGGGGGGAAAAAAGCCCGCTGAGGAAGAGGAGAACATTCCCAGAAGGCTTTGAGTTTGCAGATCAGAGGCGCCTGAAGACGTGTGAAACAAGAGCAGCGAGACATGAAAGGAGCAAAAGGAAATTTAAAATCACAAGTGAGCTCGTCTTCGACACTCAGCCGCTACAAACACGAGCGTTCGATACATTCAACAACAAAACACTTTGATTTGTGGAGACTGTCACTGAGGCTCATTTATGAGGGAAGTGTCCTGTTAAAGCTGAGCTCTGATTGGTTACTGAGAGGGAGCCGATGCTTCCAGCCTGTCAGAGCGCAGGATTAACCAAAGAGCCCCACCTTAACACCCGGAGGACACACATCTGTTTGGGGCATCCAGTGAAAAAACTAGTTGGCGTACCTGCTGTGGTGACTCCATCAGTGTTTTAAAGCAGAGTTATTAACTTACCAAATATAACCAACTAGTTTCCAGCATTTAATTTGGTCAAGTAACTTTTGGCATCTCCACCTAAGCAGGAAGATTTTAATGACTACACCTCGACAGGTAGTTTTTCTGCTAGAGTAGCTAATGCGTCCAAATTTGTCTGTTATGAACTCTCCTCCACCTTTCTTCTGATTGGCTGTCTATCTTAAAGACGAGGTTTAACCAGAAGGTGGGCGGGGCTTCTGTGCCGTGTGACCATATTAGCGAGATCCTCTCTCTGTGACGACATTCAGATTCAAGAGAGGACAAAACAGTAACTGAGGGATTTCTGTTCATACACTGATCAGGCACAAGGTTATGACCACACACAGGTGAGAGGAGTAACACTGATTCTCTTCATGGCGCCAGCTGTTAGTGGGCGGGATATATCAGAGAGCAGGTGAACATTTTGTCCTTTTTGCAGAGCTGCAGACCAGAACATGGAGCCCTACCATCCGCGTGGATGTTACACCTACTAAAGCATCGTTGCAGACCATGTACAGCCTTTCATGGAGGCGATACTCCCTGAGGGCTGTGGTCTCTCTCAGCAGGCTAAAGCTGCAGAAATGGTTCAGGAATGGTTTGAGGTGTTGACCTGGCCATCGAATTCCCCAGATCTCAATCCAATCGAGGGTTTGTGGGATGTGCTGGACAAAGACGTCTGCTCCATGAAGGCCCCGCCTCAGAGCTTACAGGACTGTGTTGATGGTGCAGCTACCACAGCACAGCCTCAGGGCTGTTCTGGCAGGAAAAGGCGACCAACGCAATATCAAACAGGTGTTTATGATGTCACGCCTGATTGGTGTGTACTCATCGCACCATAAGAAAATGCAGCAATGCTTATTATGCCCACCCACTGTGGAACAGCAGATACGAGAGGAAACAATTGTCATTTGTCTTGTTTCAAACTCCAGAGCAGAAGAGGCGCTGAGGTGACCTTTGCTCACATTGTTCTAGTTTTGCTTCGCGGTGGGTGTGACGTATTTATCGAACGTCTCTGTGCTCGAGACCTTCGTTACCTGAGTTTGCTCCTGAGCGAAGCAACCTCTCTGTTCAGGGCGTCGTTGGACTCTGCCGCCTCTTCCAGCTCCCTCTGCAGCTTCCTGCGGGCTGCCACCACGCGCTGCGCCTCCTCCTCCGCTTCCTCCAGCTGATGCTTCAGCTGCTTCACCCGCACGTTGCTCTTCTCCACCTGCAGGGGGCAGACATGGTTTTATTTACAGTTTGTAAATGACCAAAACTCTGAACTGTCATTCATCCTTTGATCTTGCGTCACCTGATCTTTGTACTGCTGCGCCTGCTTCCTCTCGTCCTCCATCTGGATCGTTAAATCTTTCAGTTTCTTCTCTTTCTGGCGCAGATTCTTAGCGTTGGCCTGCCGCTCTCTGCACAACAAAGTGGCACAAAGTCATCTCCTCAGTGCTCGGCACACGTTGAGTTGGGATCAACACTCCTCGTCCCACCGTGCGCCCTCACCTGCTCTCCACCTCCAGCTGCTCCTCGGCCTCTCGGAGTTTGGCCTCCAGAGCAGTGATGGAGGACTTGAGTTTGGAGCGGCCCTGGTCCTCCAGCTCCTGCAGCTTGGCCTTCAGCTCTCGGTTCTGCCTCTCCAGCTGCTGCCTGGATCCCTCCCTGCTCTGAGCAGAAGACCTCTCCGTGGCCAGCTCTGCTCCGAGCTGATCCACCTGTAGGAAAATCAGTTTCAGTGGCTGTTAGAGGAACTGAACTTGAGCATCAGCTTCACTGGTCAGGCCTGCTGTAATGAAATGAGATTAGAGACGATCATGAACCTACCAGCTGCTGGCTCTTCCTCAGCCGGTCGTTGAGGCCCTCCATGTTGGCCTGCTCCTCCTCCAGCTCCTCCTCCAACTGGCTGATCTTAGTCTCCAGACGACGTTTTTCATCGGACAGCAGTGACCTGAGCGAGGACATTCAAGTCAGAGTTAGATTTCGCCATCAGAAGACTAGAGATATAAATGACTCAGATATTTAACTAAATCTGAAAACATGATCAGTGTTCTTGCCGATTCCTGATTAATTCATTTACATTCAGAAATGTTTTCATTTAACCTTAAAATCTCAGTGACAGCCAGCTGGGACGACCTTTAGTGGATGTTAATGATCCCTAGATGACAAATTCCAGTGAATTTATTGATCTCTTGGGTTTTCCCGTCCCAAAGTAAAGACTAAAATTCCAGGAAGTGAAGTTGAAGCTTGATGAGACTCATGCTCCTCATTTTAAATGCATCAATAATGTAAGACACCTACTTTCCAGATGAGTTACTGGCCAGTTCCTCGGACAGCTCGTCTCTCTCCGTCTCCGCCTGCTTACGAGCTCTCTCGGCAGCTGCCAACGCCTGGACAGATGGAGACAGCAGTGTAAGAAACGATTTCCAGAGGACAACCTGTGCAATGCTGGTGAAGCCTGAAACCTTTATCGTTCCAAAAGGTGCTAAAAAAACACTTGGAAGAAACTGATTCTGTGGATTAATCGCATAACGATAATGAGTATCTGCGTCTGACTGATTGAACTCGCTGTATAAAATCAGCTTTAGCTCTCCAGGCACGCCCTTTAAACCACATTTCTTCTGACCGCCACTCCTCAGGTGGCCATATTGGGTCGATCCACCTCTCTGTGATTTCATACAAACTAAAGACTAAAAATTCAACGTTTAGAGCAGGCAGCTCCTACGGCCTTACCTCATTCAGGTGCATGATGTCGGCCTCCATGGCCTTGGACCTGCGCTCAGACTCTCTGGCTGAGGCAAGGACCTCCTTCTGGGCTGCACGGGAGTCCTCCAGCTCCCTCTGGAGATCTTTCATCTGGCCCTGTGAGGAGAGCAAGGAGGCTCATGTGGGGTTTTGAACTGGTTTCTAAATACTTCAGCTCTTATAGTTACCCAAACCTGCTCAGGCAAAATGTGAAAATACATCAAACGTGGTTATGTTTAGGACTTTGTTAGGACAACTCAGCTTCAGAAACGACGAGTTCAGAGAAATAAGAAGTCAATAAAAGAGTTTGCTGACCTGGATTTTGCGGAGCTGTTTGAGCGCCTCGTCACGCCCCCTGCTGCTGGCCTCCAGCTGATCCTCCGCGTCCTTCAGCTCCCCCTCCAGCTTCTTCTTCCCGGCTGAAGCCTGACTTCGCTGCTTCTTCTCCTCCTCCAGCTCTGACTCCAGCTCTCGGACCTGACGGACGCCAAGAGGAAAACATTAGCTGTCTGAAAACTTGCGCTTTTTTCCTAACATGTGCTTAGAAATGTTCTCAGTAAGTGCACTGGCCAGTTTTGTTCTTACTGTTACATCAATGATAGCAAATCAGAATCTTTCTAAACCACTACCTGCAGTCTCCATCCCACCAGGTCTATTTCTCCAGATAAGGAAACAGATAAACCTCACAGTATTCGGGAGAGAGAAGTCTGCACCACTAAAGCAAAAAGCAGGAAGACCTCAAAGTGGAGAAACATAAAGTTTAAGGAGGAAGCCAGTTCAGAGAATTCAAACTTCTTCTCCTTCTCAACTCTTAAAGGACCTAAATTATGATGATAAATTCTAAAACTGTGACGAGGTGCGAGTGTTTACAAAATGAGATGAAGTAAAAACCAGCGGTGGCGAGGTTTCCCGACCTGTTTCAGGAGCTGCTTCCTCTTCTCCTCTCCCAGCTCGTCGCGGGCCTGCAGCTCCCTCTCGTGCTGAGCTTTCAGAGCCTGACTGTTGACCTCCAGACGCAGCTTGGCATCCTCGGCCACCTGCAGCTCGTCCTCCAGCTCCTCCATCTGTGTCCTCATCTCCTCCACGATGGCCTCCAGGCCGCGCTTCGCCTTCTCCAGGTCATGCACCTGAAATATAACCAGAAACACATCCACCTTCATCGGAAATACTGACCACGGATAGTAGGAGTCGCTCGTGTCCAGGTTCAGTGTTTTACATTCTTTCCCACGTCGTCCTTGGAGCTGATGAGATCTTCCATCTCGGCTCGGAGCGCCTTCACCGTCTTCTCCGCCTCCTCCAGAGCCTCGTGGCTTTCTTCCAGCCCTCGGGTAAGAGCCAGCACCTTTGTCTCCTTGTCCCGCACCTCTGCCTCCGCTCGATCCCGCTCCTCCGCATACTTACAGGACACAGTGCGCTCCTCGGCCAGCATCTGATGGACATGGAGGACATTAGAGATCACAGATCATTGCAGGCTCAAAAAAAAGCACTGAGAGAAGCTTTTGTGGAACATCTGGTTCCTGGGACAAACTCTCCCGTCTTTAATACGTGTGGAAACAAAACTGGAAAATCTGAAAAACTGATCAGTGGGTAGGTAACTGAAGCAGTCATTGTGGAGCTGCCAGACCTGATCGAACTTCTTCTGCTTCTTCTCCAGGTTGGAGACGAGCTGCCGCTGGCTGTCCAGGTCCATGAGGACGTCCTCCAGCTCCTGCTGCAGCCGGCTCCGGCTCTTCTCCAGCTTGTCGTAAGCGGAGGCCTTCTCCTCGTACTCTGTGTTGGTTGCCTCCAGCTCACGCTGCAGACGCTTCTTCCCTTCCTCCAGCAGCTCCACCGTCCCCGACATCTCGTCCAGCTTCTTCTTGTAGTCTGACAGCTGAGAAAAGTCAGAAGAATGAGAACTTCAGTGTGAGAGAGGATGAGCTTAAGCATTAGGAAAAATCCCAGTCGGCCTTTGAAACGATTGCTTCGGAGACCCGGAGCAGAGCTGACCTGCATGTTGAGGCTGGACACCTGCCTCTCCACGGCCCGTTTGACCTCAGTCTCCTCCTCCAGCTGCTCCATGAGGCTGTTCCTGTCGTCCTCCATCTGACGCAGACGCCCAGACAGATTCAGCTTCTGACGCGTCTCCTCTGACAGCAGCTCCTGAAAGAGTTGGGGGGAGGAGGACGCTGTTTAGAAACCTGGCTTCATGCATCACAGCATTTAGCAGTCAGGGTGCTCCTCACCTGTGTGTCGTGCAGCTGAGAGGACAGGCTGGAGACGTCTTTACCCAGCTTGATGTTCTTTCCCTCGGCCTCGTTCAGCAGACCCGTCACGCTGTCCAGCTCCAACTAACAGAGAAGAAGAGACGAGAACTGTAAACACAAAGGCTAACGTCAAGCGCAGATACGTGTCTCTTTAAATCTGAGTGTGACTTTTCATGAAGATCCATTTGTTCTCTTTAAGTAGAAGAAGCAGAAAGTTTAAAGTTAACTGAGAAAGCTTACAGCTACTGCTGCCAACCTCTTTATCTCTGATTGGAGTTTAGGTCTTGTTGAACCAGCTAACACAAACACAGCCTGGATATTTAAGACTCTGTTCACATACTGTGCTCCTGATGAGCCTTTATCCTTTAAACCCAGAGACATGGTGGTAACTCAGATTATAATTTATTTTTACCTCAAAATATTCTTTGACTTCTAAATATGTTTGTTTACAATGCTTTATCTTTGCTTTAATAACCAGTTTATAAATCAATATCTGTTTTGTGCATTTTAGATGTACTAGTTTCTCATTTATCTGTAATTAGGATCTAAAACATTTCCAATTAGTTACTTAATCACATTTAAAGAGGAACTATTATGATTTAGGTCAATATTTGAATTATGTTTCAGGCACTTTTATTTCAGTTTGTCACTGATTTCCTTATATGGTCATAAGAAACACCCACAGTCACTCCTCATAGGAGGCGGAGCTTCCCATTTATTGACTGCGTTTGTGTAAGTAAAGCAATCTGGTAGCTAATCAGAGGACAGTGGCCTTTAAAGGAAGATGACGAGCTTGTTTCAGAGGACAGACTCGGGGACTTGTACTCTCAGGCATTCAAAGCTAATTTGGAGAAATCTCAGAATTAAAACATGAAGATGGAAAAGAGTAGAAAAAAGCCAACTTGTAATTATAAATAGCCGACTGATATCTTCCTATCTGACTCACTTCTGTCATTGTTTGTATGGCTCACCGTCATCTTTGAGACTCGCTCCGACAGCTCGTTCTTCTGCCGCTCGCTCTCATTGAAGCGAGAATTTAGATCATTCAGCTGACCCTCCAACTTCTTCTTTTTGTGCTCAACGTCCTGTTTGGCGCTGGTGAGGGAACGCAGGTCAGCACTCAGGTCTGCTGACTCCTTCTCCAGACCTTGCTTGGCTTTCTCAAGACCAGCTCTTACCTGGACAGAAGGAACAAAATATCCACCTCTGTCTCACTGTTCTTATAAGGACGTGCCAGTAGCAATATCCATGTACCTAATATTACACAAAAGTATATCTGCACCTCGTATGAATGAAAGTGTCTGACTTTGGTGAACTGACCCGCTTGGCCTGCTCCAGGTGCTCATTCAGCTCCTCCACAGCCTGACTGTGTTTCTGTCTCAGTTCCTGGATTTGGGCCTCATGGCTCCGCCCCTCTTCCTCCATGGCTCTCTTCAACATGGCCACTTCCTGCTCACGTTTCGCCCTGCCAACCATAAACACAAAACATCCGGTAAGATGGTGCAGATTAAAACAACTTAAAAGCTGCTCTTCTATGCAGATGATACTCTTATTTACTGCAACGTTTCAGATTTGTGTCGCATTAACTGTTATGGATGTTTAACCGATACCTGAAGCTCATTCTTATGTAACTGGAAAAGATTTAAGCATTTTTTTTAAACGCCGGACCAATTTCTTTTCTCATCTTTTGGGTATCTTTCTTTGGATTATCTAATTCCAGGGATGAAGAATTGCTGTATATATATTTTCCCAGACACAGATTAGGGCTAGTCTCATGCTAAAAGTAAAATTAAATGAAAAACATTCAATTTGTGATTCATTAATTTTGTCCTACAGAATATGAATAACGAAAAAATGAGCTTGCTTATCAAATTATGTGGTTCATTTCGAGGATGTATATGGACGACACGGACCGTAATTCCTGCTGGGCAGCAGTCGTGTCCAGACTGTCCTCCAGCTCGGTACGTAGAGCATTAAGCTCCTCCCCGAGGTCCCGTCGTTCTGCCTCAGCCTTCCCTCTCGCCGCCCTTTCAGCCTCTAAGTCCTCCTGCAGCTCTGAGAGCAAAGCCTCCAACTCCCGAATGCGTTTCACCGCCGCCCCACGCTGACTGCTCTCCTCCTCCAGGCTGTGGACACAAATTTGTTGGAAAGGAAATCATGAAGGTTGGAGAAATGTTACAGTTTTTCTATGGTTTCATTCACACTGTTCAATTAGGAGAGAATTTAAACAACTCTGTATCTGCATCTCTTGGGTATGGTGTCCCACAGGGATCATTTTTGAGACCCATTTGATTTCCTTTATATGTGCTTAGCCACATAATTCATGATGTCTCTTTTCAAGTTTATGCTAATAAAACACAAACCCTTCCCCTTTAGATCATCTGACCTGGTACGATTAAGTTCTCTAAACAGCTACATTCATAAAGTTCAAAACTGGATGCACTGGTTCCCTCCTGGATCATATCAAGCCATGTTTGATGGCCTCGCTTCAAGCTTCGACCGGTCAGGACATCTTCAGCATTCATAATGCATCGTCTGTTCATGTTAGTCCTCACCGCTCCTGTGTGGCCTGCAGCTCCTCCTCCTTGGCAGCAAGCTGGGCCCGCAGCTCAGCTAACTGCGCCTGCAGGTCGGCGTGCTGCTCGTGCAGTTCAGCAAGCTCCGCCTCCACCTTCCTCTTCGCCTTTTCCACATCTTGGCGACTCTTCTCTTCCTTCTTCAGACGCACTGGACACAAAAAAACCAAATTTCTTTAGATGTTACAGACACGAGTTACTCCATACTAAAGCAGCAGAATGAAATAGTTGATATTCGGGTTGTCATATTATTTTAATCTTGAGATGAAATATGATATAATGCAATAAAGAGACATTTGCTCTCTGTACTGACTGCAAGGTCAGTTATCACTCCTGAAATAACTCCTTTAACTCCAACTTCACACTGTGAGTTGAAATTTACTGTAACAGCTGAAATCTTCCCCCAGGTTTAAAGCTTTAAACATTTCCTCGGTCCAACATGTGATTGCTGCAACGTCTGCACCGTGCTGTAAACTGAACATGCACCACAGATTTGTATTCAGCTCATGAGCCAAACAAACAAAGACAAAGTGCTGACTGACCTTCGAGGTCAGAGATCATGGACTCGTGCTTGGCCTTGAGTTTGGTTAGATTCTTAGACTTCTCCTCCTCCTCGGCCAGGTTGGAGCTCATGTCAGCCATCCTCTCCTCCAGCAGCTTTCGCTCCTAAAAACAGACGCATGTGAGCGCGTGCAGTGCAGCGTTCACGCTGAATGAAGCGCTCTCTTAGAGCAGAGCGTGAAGCTGCCTCTTCATACCTTCTGCAGCTTGTTGTTCTGGTCCTCCATCAGCAGAATGTCCTCCTCCAGCTTCTTCACCTTTCCCTCCACAGCCGCTTTCTCCAGCTGCAGCGTCTGCTTGGCGTCTTCTTCCTGTGCTATGTGGGCCTCCATCAGCTGCAGGAAAAGACGACGCAAAGTTAACGGACAGAACATATAAGGATGCAGTAGGAGGACAAGCTTTCAGTGTAAGACCAGAGTTATTATCCATCATTGAGTAAGTTTATACCTGTAATCTCTTCTTATTTGCTGGACTTGAAAGATAGTATTTTAATTAACAACAAGATAAACTAACCATACGTGTCTGTGCCTTACATTGGCGATACAAAAAGCGTTGCATGTCTTGTTTTTGTAATGATAACGAGACAAACCTGTAGCTGCTGCTCCATCTCCTTCTTCTCCTGCTGCAGGGCGTTACTGCGGTCCTCCTCTTCCTCCAGCCGGGCCTCCATCTCGTGCAGCACCTCCTCCAGCTCCTGCTTCTTGGCCTCCAGTCGCACCCTTATCTCCTCTGCCTCAGCGCACAGCTCCGTCTCCGCCTGAAGCTTCAACTCCAGCTGCGCCCGCTCCTCCATCAGCTATAAACACCACAGCGAGAACATTTACTCAAAATGACTTAACGCTCAGATAAAACCCAGATAAAAACCCGAGTTTGTGTCACCTGGGTGTGCTTCTGGGTAATGTCCTTCAGTTCAGCCTCAGTTTTGGCCGCCACCTCTTTGGCGGCCTTCAGCTCCTCCTCTTTCTGACCCATCTCCTCCTCTTGTCTGGTCACCTGCAGCAGCGGCTTGACCTGAACCACAGACAGATGAAGCAAAGTTTGTTCATCTGACCTAAATAAAAATGTATTTGAGAGACATTTAAGAACAAATATGTCCTCTGGTTGGATGGTGGTGTGAACTGTTTGAATCACCTTAGTGAAAAGCCTCCACCACTGCCAGTTCTTGAGCTTGAGGTAGCAGGCGCAGTTCCTCTGGATGACCTTCATGGCGGTGAGCTGCTGCTGACGTTTGCTGAAAGCCCTGAAAACACATGAAGAAGAATCAGACCTGCAGAGATCACAGACTGTAAAGAAATGATGCATAACAGAAGACAACGTGGAAGCAGCCTACACACGTATTCTTTCTAATGGCCAGCAGGGGGCACTGCCTTTCAAAGTCTATGGGATAATGACCCTACTGCTCACTGGATTTCCTGATGAGTTTATGATCTTAATCACTAGTTTAGAGTCTTCTTTAATATGACATAAGGTTTCTTAAAAAAATTCTGGTCCCATTTAGAGTCAAATAATAAAACTGGTCATGCTTTAGGGCACGGAGCCTTCTGTTGTTTAAACCAAACAAAGATTGTGGCAAAACATCAAACTTGAAGCTTCCAACAGGACTTCTCTGTTATTTCCTGATGACTGCGTCTATCATGGGCCCCGAAAAGTAGAGGAAATGACTTCTGGGTCTTAATGCTCCACCTACTTGCGGCCCAGGAAGCCTCTTGCTTGCGCCTGGAAGGCGATGATGACGACAGTCAGTTTGAGGTCTCGCTCCTCTTCCAGCTGAGCCAAAACTCCTGTCCTGAAGAACATTTTGCTTTGACCGATGCGATACAAGTTAGGGTCCAGATCTAGGTGCTTTACCTGGAGACGAGCAGAGGAATGAACCCTGCTTCTTCCTTTTCACAGTAAATTAATATTCAAATAGCATAAATTTGTAAGCATTAAACGTTTTACTCCATCGAGCTCACCATTAAACTGCAGGCCTGTTTTCCATCCATGAAGCCTTTAGGGATGGCATTGGCAGCCAGGATCTCGTACCTGCAAACAGCACATTACCGGTGAGACCAAACCTACTACTACATGAAGTACTCGTTCCTTAAATGGGTTATCGATCGAAGTATAATTGCAAAGCGGTCAAAGAATATTCTAAATTGGAAGATATGAGGTCCCAATTCACTCTAATCTCAAACACAATCTGCTTGACACTTTATTCCCGTACCAAGCTTATTCATTTCCTTTCTTGTGGGTAAGGGGCAAGCCCATTAAAATTTAGTTTAGATGCAGATCACCTTCACGTAACTGCAAAATATAGCAATAAGCTAGCAATGAAGAAAAACAAAATAAGATAAAGAAATAGAAAAAACTCTTGTGTTTTAAACTCATACAATTTTTGATCTGAAGGAACTTTTCTAAAAGAGGAAGAAGCATCTGCCTTCAGTCCAGAGTGAGGAACAACCAACGAAACCTGATCACAGGGCCTCAGACTGTGGGCAGGTGTCCATGGACTTATTTGAATATTTAGTAATAGCCATAGGTACATGCAGGTAGCTGTGGGTTTGTGAGATGTGTGTCTGCTGTGGGCTCTCACTGCAGCTGCATGAGTAACTTTTTTATGAAGGAATTCTTTTGACATGCCAACTTTACACAGCAGCTAATAATATTCCACAGCTGACAAGTATTTTTAAACAAAAGCATTTACATGACACTTAAGGCTCACAGTTGGTAGCATCTCCCATCAAACTTTTACAGAAATAAAAACATTCTGAAGAAACAATGTTTTAGTCTCAAGTGAGATACAGAATTGAACATCATCTGCATACAGTGGAAGCAAAAATCTTTAAAGTCGTTAGCATTCAAACTTAGTATTATTATAAAGGAACTATGATACTGTTATCAGTATAAATGATCTCAGACATCTCCCTCACCTCTGCCTGAACTCCTGGAACACAATCCGGTTTGGAAATCCCTGCCTGCAGATTCGAATCCCCTCCAACACTCCGTTACACCTCAGCTGCTCCAGCACCAGGTTGGAATCCATCTTTCCAGCCTGCACCACAGCAAAAAGCCAACAACTCCTCAATGAATTAACAGACTCTGTCTTTTATCTCGGGGTTAGAGTCAGCTAGGGCTGCCACAAACGATTATTTTGATAGTCGACTAGTCACCGATTATTTTTGCGATTAGTCGACTAATCAGATCATCATCCATTGGACATAAAACGTACAGCTTATTGCACCAGCAGCATCTGCTCTTATATAACTATCATTAGCTTACAGCTTTAAGTATTTAAGGTATGTGCTAACTAAAAATAAAGACAAGATGATAGTTTATTAAATTTTAATGAAGTTTGCAGATTGTTTTGGTGAAGTTTAATAAACTCCTTGCTATCTAAAATATAACAGGACACCGGAGTAAATTCTCCAGCATCTCACACTTCTGATAATCAGCTGTCTGCTTGACGGTTATTCAGCTGTGTAAAAACTATAACTTTAATCTCAGCCAAACCGATTTACTCAGGAACAAATAAAACACTGAAAAAAGAAAAAAAAGCCAAACAATAACATTTCAAGTTATCTAAGTCACTTATATATGTTTAACCTGAGTAGCGAAAGACGGCGGTGGGTTTGAAAACGATCTGCCGGGAGTCCGGTGTTCTCACGGCTCTAGTGACCTTGCCCCCGGCTAGCTATCGAGCTAGTGGGTAACAGACGTCTCCGAAAACGTCGGAGCGCTTTTGAAAATATGTGGTGTCCTGATAAACTGAGCAGATATTTGAGGTTTACACAGCTACATTCTCGCCTGAAAATATGTTAAACGTTTATTTTGTGACCCAGAAAGAATAATAAGAGTAACATTAAAACTAACTAGCTGCCGCCATTGTTGGAAACTGAGCTGGGCTGCGCTATGAATTCTGGGACACAGCTTCTTCTTCTTCGGGGTTTAACGGCAGCTGGCATCCTTGTACATGCAGTGCTGCCATCTTCTGTTTCAGTCCGTTTTTACACTCTTAAATCCTACTACTTATTCCTGTGTCTTTGGGATCTTACAAAGCTTCAAACGACGCGTCGATTATTAAATTCGTCGTCGACGATTTTGATAGTCGACGTAATCGTGACTAGTCCACTAATTGTGGCAGCCCTAGAGTCAGCTATAATAACCTACCCGCTTCTCGTGGTTTGGAATGATGCAGCGGACGAAGTTGGGCTGGGTGTTGTGTAACGTGGTCATCAGTTTGCCCAAAGACTCTTTGTACAGCTGACCCACAGTGCGAAACATGCCCTTCTTGGATTTGGTGGAACTGGGCGCTGAGCTCTCAGACATCTTGGTCATGGTCTCCAGACCTACAACTCGATCCACTGACATGGAGAATAAAACAGGAAAGATTTATGACGACTTTTAATGCCCTGCTTTATGTTATTGCTCTACTGTGATGACGACTCACCGTCTTTCCACAGATCCTGAATGAAGGCACTGGAGGAGTTGTTGAGCAGAGCTGTTACGTTGTCATTCAGAGGGTCCATGTTCTTTGTCAACCAGTTGGCGGCATTATAGTCAACCTGGAGTCACAATTTTTAAAAGAAATCTCAAAATATTTAAATCACCGTGCCCAAAATCATAGAGTCCATTGGTTTCCACTCAGCATTTATCATACACCTCACAAATATACACAGTACTTCCCTGGATCTAGACCAGCGGTCCCCAACCTTTTTTGCGCCACGGACCGGTTTATGCCCGACAATATTTTCATGGACCGGCCTTTAAGGTGTCGCAGATAAATACAACAAAATAAAACTAGTACCGTACCGAAAAAAAGAAAATTTATTCATAACACATGTGAAAAGACCAAGGAAAACAGAGTAAACGATAAAAACGATAACAAAATAACGCTGAAAACCGATAAAAACCCTGAAAACCAGACATTTCACACCTGAGCCTCAACTCTCGCGGCCCGGTACCAAACGACTCACGGACCAGTACTGGTCCGAGGCCCGGGGGTTGGGGACCGCTGATCTAGACCATTGAATTGGTTGTTGTTTTCAGAAAAATTGCATGAGAGAAATTAAAATCACATCAATCAAGAGCAACAGAACCAAACAGACCCTCTGTTTCACTGTGAGTCATTTTTTCTTAAGTGTTTAAATATTTTTCACAAATGCAAAGTTTTACAGATGACTGTCCGTCTCGGGAAGCTGTCCTCACCTTTCCAGCGTAGTGCAGGACAGTGAACATCAGTTTGTCTTTGTGCTGTTTGGGTTTGGAGAATTTAACGTGACCAGTGTGGGTGTTCAGCAGCTTGTCCACGAAAGAAATATCAGTGGCTTTGGGGAACCAGCACTCCTCGTCCAGCAGGGCCAGGATACCCGGAGGGTTGTTCTGGAAGAGAGTGTCGGATCCACGGCTCAGTTTAGGAGAACATTTTTACAAACAGTTACTTTTTGATCAGTGTCGAGTACAGGGATGTTTAAAAGTCATTCCTATACAGGCAAACATCCTTTATAGCAGTCCTGATAGGAGCAAAGAGAACGCAGTCCCTTCCTCAAAGACCTCGAAAAATTAACCTAAAATTATCCCCATATGGAAAAGAAATAGTAAAAACTTATATGTGATTACTCGTGAAAGTGGCCACTTTCTCATTACTTTCATATATTGTTTTAGTAAGTATCCAAAACATACAAGTTTCATTATATAATTTTTCAAGGGATCTTATATCTGTTTTCACACTTATATGCTTTTCATACAAGTTTCACACAAGACAGATACAAACTTTATAAGATTTATATATATCTTTTCCATATGGGTTATTGTTGGATGTTTGGGAATAACATGATGGAAAAATATTTAAAACACATACTTTCTTGGTCCAAATCTTCTCTTATCATTTTGTTTTATCTGTCCAGAATAATCTTAATTAGATAATCTTGTTAAATTTAAACCTTCTTGAAATTGATCTGTTAACAATCTTACAGAAAGATCTCTTTGCTCACTCTTCATTTTTTAAAGACCGTGAATGTTATCTTAATTCATCAAATTGCTTTTGTCCTGTTCATAAAATAAAGGCAAACTTTGAGTTATCTTTCAATTAATCCTTCGTTAACTTAGATGCCATATTTTCTTCTTTTGCATTTATCAGTTGTGCAACACCGGCGTAGACTTTATTGTTATACATGTTAAGTTGCTTGTGTGTGTAGCTGTCTGACCGGCCTCTCGATGAGCTCGATGCAGGGCTGCAGGTCGAGGCCGAAGTCGATGAAGTTCCACTCGATGCCCTCCCTCTTATACTCCTCCTGCTCCAGGATGAACATGGTGTGGTTGAAGAGCTGCTGCAAACGTTCGTTGGTGTAGTTGATGCAGAGCTGCTCGAATGAGTTGTCCTGTGGGATCGAAATTCATGATTAAAAACTGACAAAAAACACAATTAAACTTTCATACATCCATTTTCCCAACTTATCCAGGTCACAAGTGCTTCAGTCTAAGGAGAGACTCCCTCAGGTGCTTCTGGGGGCAGTCCCAAGTAAACCGGCATAATGTCAGATGCCTGAACCATCTCAACTGTCTTCTTTCAATACGGAGGATGATTTTCGAGAACGATGATGATGACACAATGATTCTTTTTTTTTTTTTTTGCAAACGCCCTGTTGACTCCAGAAAGTTCTATCAGAAAAACTTGCCACCCTCAGCCCTCGATTTTGTAGAACAGACCAGTGAGTCTGCACAACGATCCAGGTAACTGGGGAAAAAAGACCCCAAGACTCTGAAGCTCATTCCCAACCAGTGTGGTCAATCCACCATTTTCCAGTTAAGAACCAGCGATAGAAATGCTATATCTCATTTTGGCCACTACAAAGGAGGCTGCTTGGAGCTTGAAGCCAGAAGAACCAGAGACCAACCAACCCTCTTCTCTTCATCTTTCATTATGAAGAGGACACGTGACAGGGTGGGGCCTCATTATGGTTGTGCACACACTAAAACACCCATAGAAGGGGACACGGGACTTCTCCAAGTCTATAAAACACGACTGAATTTCCTCGAGAAGATAGAGAGCTGGACCGGCGTTCCACAGAACGAAAATCTCATTGTTTCTCCTTAGTCCTCCACCAGGAGTGGGCTCTCCACCCTTATCTGGCTAAGACCTACAGACAGAGGTCTTAATTCTCATTTCCACCACTTCTCAGTTGACTGAAAACCAGCTAAATGAAACAGTGACTTCCAGCTTACATTACTCCGAAAAACGTATCAACAGGGCCTGAGGTGCTCTCGGCAATGGACCTCGAGGGATGCATACCCTCAAATATCCTCAACAGGATAAAGAGCCGGTCCACTTTTACGCAACTGCAAACCTGGGTGTTCTTCTTGAATGATTAGTTCGACTGACTCATAGGAATGACATGAAACAGTGAAATGTTTCATGTCATTCCTATGACACACACTAAAAGTTAGTTTTTAGGAATCAGTTACCTCAAAAATCTCAAAGCCGGCGATGTCCAGGATGCCGAGGAAGGATGACGACTGCCTCTTACTCTTGTCCAGAGTCTTGTTGACTCTGGCGAGGATCCAGCGAAACAGACGCTCGTACATGGCTTTAGCCAGAGCCTCGATGGCGAAATCAGCCTAGGAAGGGAGATCGAAAGGACATGAGATTGAAGGCTGCCGTCTTCTGTGTTTAATTAACGAGGTTTGGTTTGCTTCTCGGGTACCTGCTGCTTGGTCTGAGCCTTCTGCACCACCTCCCTGCCCACTTTGATCCTGGGCGTGAGGATGGCGCGGGTGAAGTCGGTCACATTGATGCCCTGCAGGTGACACACCTTCTGCGCAGCTGTGAGTCGAGGCAGAGAGGAGGTCAGACAGGTGAAGATGCTCATTTACAGAACTGGTGATGGTGCTTTTTTGTTTTAAAGTTACCGGTGTTGTCGGGCATCGTCGCCTGCTCGTTGTTCCTCTCCTTCTCAAACTTGATGTTACCCAGCTGGAGCACACTGGATACCACCTTCAACATGCCTGCAGACAGGAAAAGGAAGAGCAGGAGCATCAAACTGATTCAGATCAAATATAACTTCTTATGTTCCACTTATTCTTTGATAAGTAGGGTACTTCTTTAACTAAAAAGGGGCATCAGAAGCATGAACCTGGGTTGCCCCAACACCTCAGAATTAAATTTGGAGGTGATTTCTGTCTACTTTCTTATAAAAATACCCCCAAACCCCAACTTTTCCTCATTTAAAAATATCCTAAAGTATAATTTCAGTCCTTTTATTTTGTAGGCTTGAATAGGAAGTCTTGCATAAATCGTTGGGAATCTTGTCATTACGTGGTCTCTGTACCTAATCGCTCCTCCTCAGTGAAACCCATGATGTCCATGGCCTCCAGCGTTTCATCAAACATCTCGTTGTCCTCCTGCCCAGGGATCTCCACGTGACCCTCTATCAGGAAACGATAGCTGCTGAAGTCCTCCAGCAGCAGCTCCTCTACAAACAGAGAGAGAAGACGTTACGCTGACTGAGTGTAATCCGTGCAGTCGCTACAGAGGAAGCAGCTGGTTTCCAGCATCATTCACATAATTTCATATCTACGCTGACATCAATAGGGCTGAAAATGAAGCAAAAACTGCTGTTCCATGTTAAAATGTTCATCTTTACAGCAGAAATAAACACGTTTACATCCTAATATAAAAACAGTTTTGGCCTCTATGGATAGTTTCCTCTTTTATAACATCTCCAGGAGTATATATTTTTAAATAACTGATCCATCTGGATTTTACTGAGGCCTAAAGTTTGGGGTGTGGCTGCTTTGATGGCCAACTGTGCAGACAGAGTCCAAACATGGTTACAACGGTGACATCACATCTGCCTGTCGTCGTGCTACGATGGGTAAAAACTGCAGAGTGGACAAAGATGGTCCAGCTACAACATTTGATTGCTGATGATATTATTGACTGAAGGAAATGAATGAAGGCATCTTTCTTTTTGACTAACAGCTAACTTGAACACACTGTCCACCTACACAGATTCATTTATGTTCATCTGCATGCAAACTCTGTCTCAGTCGTTGGATAGTAAACTTGAAACGTAATAGGATGTTTTCACAGTCTTTCAGAGATGATCAAGTATCTGAATCATACAGTCTGTAGATCTACTCTGCACTCTTGCGACTTGTAGCTCCTCAAAAGCAGCACCGAACTTCACCCTTCAAAACACCAAAAGCTGATGGATAATGTCACGGTGGCCATCATTTATACACAGTCTCATTTGACTGAGACATGACTCGCAATTTAACAAAAACATCTGTTATGACTTTCTCAGTCAGGCTCTGATCTGCAGCATCTGTTTTGCAGCATGAGCTTAAAATTCATATTTACCAATAAATTATAGTTATTACTATGTTATGACAGCTCCCATCTGACCCCAGGATGGTTTAAAAATGTCAGCTTGTCCCTTTAAATGAAGGATTTTTTCCTGTGGTTTGAGCTGCTCACCTCTCATCTTGTCTTTGGCTCCAGCCACCATGTAGTAGAAGATGTGAAAGGCTCTCTCGGTGTGTGCCTGTCGAATACAGCGAGACTTCTCCAGCAGGTCTGACCAGGATTAAGAAGAATGACCCACTTATTTAATGCTTACATTAAAAAAGGAAAAATTTAACTCAAAGTAGGATACAGGTGTCGATATTCGCCCCGACGATGTAGCCGGTCACATCAAAGTTGAGTTTGATGAACTTTCCCTGCGAGCAGAGAGGACGACAGCAGCTTTAACTTTATATCACAGGTATTTTTCCATCTCTGCGTTGACAGACTGAATGAAGTTCTTACAAATCGCGAAGAGTTGTCGTTCTTGATGGTTTTGGCGTTTCCAAAGGCCTCCAGGATCGGGTTCGCCTGCAGCAGCTGCTTTTCCAGCTCCCCCTGCAGCAAAAATGAGGTTAAACAGCTAAAAACATCTCTGCTTTTAAACAGAACAGGTCATGATGTAAGGCTCACAAAGCTTTCCTGTTACATTGATACTGAAGTAAAAACGAGTCTTTATGAGATTTTATACTCACGTAGGCCAAAGATCCCGCCTGCTGCTGCTGCAAGAGAAACACGCCGGTTAGAAATCATAAAATATTTGCATTTTCCCCAAAATTGGCCTGAAACGCAGCAGCGGAGCAGCAGGGGTCAGAGGTCAAGCACTGATAAATCCTGACTAAACAAACCAAAGATGGTTCATGACTGGATTAAATGCAGCGGAGCGAAGAGCAGATGTAACGTTCAGGTTAGTTATGGAGGATCGTGAGAATCATGGAGACTTTTCTTTGATTTTTCTTTTAAATCATCAAAGATAAAGAATTAAAAGCCCCGCCCCCAGCAGCAAACAGCAGTAATCTGTCCTCACCTTGGCCACGGCGCCAGCGACTGAATCCTGTCGTACACAGCAGAGTTTGCACTTTTTTATAGCAGTTTTTTCAAACTTAAAGCTCATTCTGATTTCATAATGTCTGAACTTTCAGTCTGGATCCTGAAACCTTATAAAACTTTTAGCTTTTGTCTGATTATTTGGCTGCTTTGGGCTTTATTTTCTTTAAGAGTCAGAAAGCTTGAGGCGCTGGTACTCACAGGGTTGACGGGGTTCTTGCCCTTGTGCGAGGAGGCGATGACGGCGAGGTACTGAATCACCTTCTTGGTGTTTTCTGTCTTCCCGGCTCCAGACTCACCTCTGGGTGACGCAGCAGAGACTGATTAACCTCCTAACACCCAGCTGCTAGTTTTAGCATTAGCCTGCTAGTCAGCTGTAACGCTTCTTTAAAGAGAGTTTTCAGCTGCAGCTCTTTTAAAATGATAAACTTGGATTAAGTAACACAATATTTGAACACTAGCGATAATCAATTAAAGATTATAAAAGATTTATGATGAATATTCCCATCGGTCGTGTTATTATTTACATGTAAAATAAAAAAGTGCTTCTCTTTTAAAAGCAGGCACCAAAGTGGACACATGTTTTGGAGTAAATGAAACTAAGTCGATTAATAGCAGGGATCGTAAAATAAAAGTTCTGTGAAGGTTCTTAGATATCCAGGTCATCGTAGTCTAAGGAGCTTGGAAAGAAAAGCATCTGGATGTCTTTAGGTTACTTGAAGATGTTTCACCTTTCGTCCAAGAAGCTTTTTCAGTTCTAAGAGCGATTGGTGGAGAGTCACAGACTTTAAGCCCGACGGGAGTGCTCTCAGAGCATGTCTAAAGACATCCAGATGCTTTTCTTTCCAAGCTCCTTAGACTCCCCATTTTTATGTTTTTACATTGTTTTACAGCAAAAGATCCCATTTTTGACCAGAACCACCCTCTCAGATGTAAATACCTGTTGTTTTCTTTGTCTTTGTGTAAATAAATGACATTTTGAAACTCCTATTCTGATAATGTTTTATGGGCCCCCAAAATTAAAACGGTAAACAAGAAAATAGTGAGAATATTAAACAGGGCATCGTCGTTTGATTTGTTTTTCTTAGTGTAAAGTGGACCTTTATGACATCCCTAAAACGGCCATCTCTGGCACAGAGGCCCCGCCCACCTGCCGTTTAAACTTTGCTTGCGAGGGGCAGCCAATCAGGAGAAAAGATAAGAAGCTTAAACAGCTTGTTTCAGACAGAATATCTGATCTGACAGCATCACTGAGGCCCAGTGTAAGAATAATTAAGCTTATTTTGAACTCTGAGTCATGCAAAGCTGCTCTGGTCTAAATAGATGGAGCTGGAAATGAGGTGAACTGGTCCAGTTAAAGGTTTGGGTAACAAACTGGTGGTATGTGTCTGTGAAAAAAAAAAGTGCTGTCTGTTTTGACTCACGTGCAGAGAATAGACTGATCCTCGCGGTCTGTGGAGAGAGAGAGAGAGAGAGAGACATAATGTGACACTGAACTCGTCAAACTCCAAACACTTGGACACGAGAGCGAAAGAGATCTCGCTCACTGGGAGATTAGCCTCCATCACTCATATCCTCTAAAAATAGCAGGTGGATGCAGGACTCCGTCACTGTAATCTCGTCTCACTGCTCCATGTATGGCCATCCTGGAGCTCAGTGGAAAGTATGGAGCTGCTCTGAGGTCACCGGCGGACCAAACGGAGGCCAGACGGCACGCTCCGAGGCTTCAGTCGAGGTTGCTCAACGCCATCGCTCACCTCTGAGAAAGAGCTGTGATGTGACTGTTTGTGGCTGCTTCATGTTTTGTACAGCAGCGTCAGAAGCAGCAGGACTTATGGGACTGAATGTGTTTTCATATTTGTGGGGGGAGATGGGGGCATCTGGGGATAGTGATGGTCGATCTGAGGGGACAGGATGAGTGTTTGTGTATTCATCTGATACACACCAGCCTCATGTGTCTTGAAAACATAAACACTCTTACATCAAAAGTCATAAAACACATGATAAATGCAGCATTTAGTGGAGAGAGTATGTCATTAGAGAAAAGGGTGGCCGTGCAAAATCCTGTGAGAGGTCTGCCCGGGAGTCAAACGTCTGACCAGCGTGCTGCGATTTAAAAGTCAGTTTGTGTGTTGGCTGATGATGCAGAGTGGATGAGCAGGACTTATCCGCTTATCCAACTCGGGGTCATGGGGGTGGGATGGTGCCTATCCCAGGTGCCACAGGGTAAAAGGTGTTGTACATCCCAGATGTGAAACCAACCACACACTCTCACATTTACAGCCAATCAAAAGTCACGTCTCTGGACACAGAGAGGCCCACAGGCTCAAACCAGCACGCTTCTGAATCTGACAAGTGTTTCAAAGAAAGCATGTTAGCATGATCCAGCTCCTCTGACTTCCCCGGTCCAGGTGAAGCCAGGTGAAGCCAGGTGGGCTTTCTCAGTGCTGCTGACTCCCAGTGCTTCAGACTGGGGGTGCCAAACATGCAGAACCACAGAGTCCAATCCAACCCACACTGGAGGGTTGAAAGTGTGGAAATTTTACGACAGTCATTATTCTGAGGGTAACGTTTCTACACAGGAATGAAAACACAAAGAAAGTGAAAAGTTCTTTGCACATGAAGGTTTTGTGCCTTCATAGATGCTGTAAACTGTACGGGAACGGTAGGTTCAATGAAGGTGGGAAAACAGAGACACGTTGTTTCTCCCCAAAGGGAGGGAGTATGTCACCGCTCCATTTGTCTGGTTGTTAGCAGTCTAGATGTAACTGTCATATTCCATGTGATGGTAGAGACCAATAACAGCTGGAGTGGATTTAATTTAGGTGAAAATCTGGTCGAAGTCACACCAAACATCTTCCAACTGTACAACATACTGGAGCTTGGGGGACATGAGTACCTAGGGTGGCTGAGCGTTTGACCTTGACTTTCACTGTTAGCTCCCAAGGTCAAAGTTGACCTTGTAAAAAATTTCAAGAAATCTTATCAAGTAATATATCATATGAGAGAGCATGGACAGAGCTCTATAACACACCGTTTATCAGTGCGATGCACAGGTAAACAGGGGGAGTGCCATCCACACATTGTCTGCAGGTCCCCAACTTCCTCACACTCTTCTGGTCACACGCCCAAACCACCTCATCTGATTCCTTTGCAAGTGCTGCTTACATCTTATATCTGTGATCTCATTCTTTTAGTCACGACACAGAGGTCCTGCTCACAGGTGAAGGCAAGAAGATGGATCCTCAGCTTTACTTTCACCCTCATCTCTCTCTTTGCTTACAGTTTCCATGCCTCCTAAAGTCCCGTGGCACACCTGGACTTGGCTCAAAATATGTGCTTTGGACTCACTGGTGCACCTGTTCAGGTCACCAGCAGTGAAACACCTTCCAGGTTTGAAGTGGCTCAGGTTAACGGTTGTTGGGACAGGTGAAGAACAGTTGGATGGATAAAAATGTTTTTGTTATCGTCACAGAGCCTCTAAGGAGATCTGTATCTTTATATTTACTATAAAACGGGTCACTTATGTGCTAAAATATTGAAATATTCATAATTCAGCATCTTATTTACAAATTTTAAAGGTAATTTTGGTTAAAAAAAAGTTTTCTACGATGTGAAATATTGTCATTTATTTACCTGAGTGCATTTCCCACCTGTCGTTTACTTCTCGATGGTCTAACTTTAATCCGTCTGTACATATAAACTTGACTAAATTCTTTGATTTTCAGTCATCTGGGAACATCTTTGATATTTCCAGTGATGCTGATGGACATGTTTGTTGGTTTGAGATAAAAAAAAAGTATTTAAATACTTTCTGTATCAAACACAAAGTTTGTAGCTGCTTTTCTTGGACTCTTGATAAGAACAACAGTCGTGTGCGTTTTACCGTGTGATCTGTTGTCTGTGCATGCAGACAGTTACCCTGCATCATGTTCCTGTAGGCGTTGTCCGTGATGGAGTAGATGTGCGGTGGAACCTCATGGCGTTTCTTGCCCTTGTACATCTCGATGATCTTCTCAGAGTAGATGGGCAGCATCTTGTAGGGGTTCACCACCACGCAGAAGAGGCCCGAGTACGTCTGTGGAGGGACGAAACATCACTTTATCACCACGCCGGAGCTGCCAGCTCATTCTGACGTCTGTTTTCTACTCGAGTTTTTAAAATGTTAAGACATCGCCCAGTAAACTGGTGCTTTGATATCTGATTACTCACGCACAGCAGGAATAAGGAAGGTTATCTTATGCTGTACATGCAGATTTTAGTACTCCTGTAATAGTTCATGAACAGGTGTGTGCTCCTAATAATGGGAGTCATCGTGTTTGACAGGTCACACTTCCAAAGTAAAAGTGTTGTTTCAGCTGTGGCTCAGTTTCAGGTGTGTTCTGCTTCCTTCTTCCAGCTCCTGTCTGATTGTTTGACTCCTCCCACCTTCTTAAAGGACTGGCCACACCTCGACTGGGTGCATTCAAGATCAAAACAGTGTGAACTGTTGAACTGGCGCCTCGCTCTTTTCATGCACGAGCAGGTTCATGTGCTTTATTAACCTGTGACTATAAGAACTTCCACCTCGTTGACATGTTTAAAAGTCAAGACTGTAAATTAATTTTCGTTATAAACTGTTTCCTGACTGCTTCTTGTTGCTGCTTCGTCTTTTATAACAATAAAGTTTCATTCAGTTTGTTTTACAGCAAATAGAGACAAAATAATAAAGCAGCCTTAGAGTCAAATGATGGGATTAATTATATTGATACATGGTAAGAATGAATGTAATCTGTGTGAATCAATGCCCTGTTTTGTCTAATCTGATGGCTTTAATGATTAAAACAAGATTATTTTGCTTCTGAATATATTTAAACCTAATCACACGCTTCCTTTCTAACCACAACATTATAGAGAAAACTTCACATTGCTGCATTAATTCAAACTGCACAGGCCCTGCAGCTCGTTCTCTTAATAATCCAACTTTAGGTTGAACAATAGCGGTGGCTCGAGTTAACATCAGAGATGGTTTTAGCTGCTCTGAAGTCCTCTGCTCATATAAGGACTGGAGGAACTGGACCTCCTAACTCTCGGGGATCTGCACAGTGGTCTGTATGAGATGCATGAGCTCGGATTCAAATTTTTACATGCAGTACCTTATTAGTCTTTGAAAGACTGACTAAAATAATACAAACATAAGCTGCTGATCTTTCCAGTACATCAGTCCTTAAACGAGGACTTTCCACCTGAACGTTAAGTCTCTTCAGCCTCTGAGTTTATGAGGGGCCCTCAGCTCTCCTGTCTCCCGCTGACTTTGTCTTTACTGCAGTTTTCTTTACGTAAAACCTTACAGCACATTCAGGTTAACACCTGATTCTTTCAATTTGTCTTCAACATAGGGGGGCAAAGTTTTCACTTTAGTTCTATAAACACAGACCTGTGTGGTTTTTATAGAACAAACTTCCTTTTTAATGTAATTTAAACACAGTTTCTAACAAAGAGACTTAAAATCATGGGTGTAAGTTTGACTTGAGCACCAGATAAATCAGGCGCCAGGTGATCATTGAGTGTTTTCCTCACATAGATCAGGCTGGAGAAGTATCTCTCGCGCAGGTTGTGCAGGACGGAGGCTTCGTTGAGGAAGGTGAGGGCGGCCATGTCCTCCACCTTGCTGAATTTGGGCGGGTTCATCTTCTGGATGTCGTCTTTGTTCACCGTCACCTTCTGACCGTTGGAGAGCTCCACCAGCACCTGCAGAGCAGCGGCAGGTATTCAGCACAAAAATTCAAATATCACATCGCCTGACAAACCAAACAACCGTGTTGGTGTCCTGCACATCTGTGTCATTCAGAGGAAACGGGTTTGAGAACAGGTGAGAGAAAACTAAAAAAGACAACGAAGAGAAGAAAATCTCACAAGAAAATTAAAAATGTTGAAATTCTACATTTAATTTATCTCAAGTTTATTTTTTAATCTTTGAAAAGTAATTTCTGAAGTTTTACACGCGAGGAAGTAATGTCTGTAACCGCTGCGTCTCATGTTCGTCCATAACAAAACAATTCCCATAGAGTATTCTGGAATATATGGAAGCTTTTCCATTTGTTCTTGTGTTTACTCAGTTTGCAGAAAGCGGTCCCGTACTGAAGTGCCAGGTTAAATTTAATTAAAGAGTTTAAGGGTAAAACTCTGTTAAAAGACCAGAATCACTGTTACTCTCTTCATAAAGTAACAAAGTAACAAAGACAAACAGTTGGTGTAAATGTTTGTCTGCAAGCTGCTTTGCAACCCCACTCTGCTTCAGCTCCTTCTTTTCACGCTGTTTCTGACTTAATCAACATCATATTTGTGTTTCCTGATGGCTCCTGTCAATCATTCTTGTTTCCATGCATACCTGGTCACCCTTCTCCTCCTTGATGCTCGCCGGCTCGAAGCCCTCCCTCTCTGATGGCACCCACACCATCTTTT